TTTGGGGTCAGATCTGAGAGTCAGAGAAGAATTCATTGCTTGGTGCCAAGTTAGGGTTATTATTCTTTAAAAAACACACACTTTGGAATGGTATATGTTTTAATGAAGAGATTGTGCCATGACAGCAAGACAGCACATAGACCTGGAAAGAGAAGGAAAGAAGTTGGTTGGGACATTTTAGATCTTCTTAAATGCCTGGCTGAATGGGCAAAGTTTAAAAACCAGCTTGTCTATGGAATGCCAAGTGTATGGTAACACTATGCCAACTCCTCTGATTCCTTTTGAAAGGTGTAGCAATCTGTAGTAGAGCCGCAGTTGCATTGTAAGAAAGGAAAAGATGAAAATTCTATAGCTTTCAGGAAATAGGTAGTGACCACCAGGATCCCAAGATCTGGGTTCTGGCTTACTGATGGCCAAACTCAAAAAGGAACTGAAGCCAAAGCTACAAATATCTACTTCTTGGCATATATCTATATATATAAAAGTGAAATACCACTCACGCATCATCACAAAATCTCCAGAATCGTAAAGCCTACAAACTTGAAATTTCACAGGTATGTTCCTCTTGGCTTCTAAGAAAGGATTTTTCAAAATGACCATCAGAGCATTAGTATTTTGTATATTATTATCATTATCATTAACATGCTCTGATGCTAAAGAGTTCTACTTCCCCTCCCCACCTGAAATCTGTTTCAAATGCAAAACACAAGCCGTTGTCCAGAGCAGCTGCAGCCCTCTGCCCCCTTGGTTGGTGCACTCTTGGGTTGCACAGTCTGGGCAGCACAGGTGAGTTGATTACTTGTCCAAGCAGCAGACAGCGACAGAAGCGCAGGAGGGAGGCATGCAATCTGGATGTGCCATGTGGGCTGCGGGAAAGCTGAAAGTTGGTGGGCTAGGGCAGGTGAGTGGGCAAAGGAGGCTCATCTTCACGTGGTGGCACCGGAGATGGCAGCAGAGGCATGGGGGGAGGCACACAATCCAGATGCACCACATGGGCTGCAGGCAAGCCAAGAGACGGTGGGACTGAGTGGACAGGTAGCTCATCTTCATGTCTCTTGACATGCCTGCAGCATCAGGATTGCCTGCTTCCCCCCTCATGCCTCTGCTGCCATCTGGTGCTGGTGCTGCCACATGAGGACAAGCCACCCACAGCCACCAGCCCACTCTAGCCCATGGTCTCTTGGCTTTTGCGCAGCCCACGCAGCACATCCAGATCACATGACTGACTCCACCTCTGCTCCCACCTGCTCCTTGGACAGGTAATCAACTCACCTGCACTGCACAGGCTGCGGCTGCTGCCAGACATTCTCGACCAACATATACTCACATGCTCACCCCCTCTTCACTAGGGTTTTTTTGGGGGTAGGGTTTATTTTCAGGAAACACAGTTAAGTCATAACGTGATTTGTTTAGGTTTGGTTTAATGAGTGAATCTAATCCTTGTTGCTCATAAGCCATAGTTTAATCTAGCATATTGTGAGAATGAGTCAATTATGATCCAATAAATCATAGTTAAACAAAATAGGACTGAGTAGTGTGTGTAGTACAATGCTGAAAGATAAGGACAATATTAAAATAGGTGAAGCAAATTGCTGCTTTGGCCAGTTCATGTTTTGCTTGTTCAATGATTAATCTCTTGGGAAGAAAGGGCCTAACTTCTCAGTGGCACCTGAAGGACAAAAGGTAGAGCATTAATCACACCTTCATATGGCATTAAATTTGTTATGACATAAGATAGACAAAAGCAATCCATGTGAGCCACATGCAGTCCTCAAACTACTTTTGCCATCCTAAGGGCCCCCTGGAATTGCACAATGAAAGATTAAGCACACAGTCAAGCAGCAATGCCTCCTGCGTGATGGGAGCAGCTTGGGATAATCTGGCCAGAAGCCAATTATCAACAGTCAGTAGACCTGCAAGATGTTGGCATTGTCTCCTTTTGACCTCCTACCCCTGTATAATAATTACATATAGGAGCCTCCAATAAACTGAAGAGGCTGGATTTAGTATAGGCTCTAGTTCAGCAATCTCTAAAAGGCCTAGTCAATCGGTAGCCTGAGCCTGTAGAAGAGAGAACTCCTGCTAGAAGAGAGAATTATACACATCAGAAACAGAGTAAAAAACAAGAAATCATATTCTTCTATTGTTCTTTATACTCATAAGCAGAATATGAAAATTATTTCTCCTTGAACAATTGAATAGTCAAACATTAACAATATGGTACCTCAATTTAATATGCAAAATGTTTTGTTCAATGAGTTATTGTTAACTTATTTTACATAATAAACATTGGATTAGGTGTCTTCTAATTATTCATGAAATTATGGAAATATGATCCATGACCAGAGACTCTAATTTGGGAGTCATTTCATTTTGTATATAAAACATAACCTATGGAAACCTTTGTTTATGTTTAGCAAGTTTAAACTTGTTTCAAGCAACTAGAAACTATTTGTTAGTCTTCTAGTATCTGCAAACAATCTCTGAATAATGAACTGGTATGATAGAGGACTGCCTAGATACAGAATGGAATAGTTATTCCACAGTAAGCAGGAATAGAATTGTGCTGCTAAATAGCTTTGTTAGTATAATTTTCCCCCAATCCTTTCATAAAATATTATATCCATTACAGTTTAAAGAGAAATAATCTGAAAAAATAACTTGTTAATTGCTATAAATGAAACACTTAAAAGTATCTTCACTCAACAAACGTGGGTTTCAGATAATGACCTGATAAAATTGAGAAGTGTAACATCAACAGACGAGACTATAAATTAGCATGTGCATACTGTATTTATATGTCACATGTTTTGTTCAGATTATATTTCTTCATAAATAACCTGAATACTGTTATCACCAGGGGTGGGATTCTACAGGTTCACACCTATTCGCTAGAACCAGTTGTTAACATTCTAAGCAGTTCGGAGAACCGGTTGTTAGAAGAAATTACTGGCCTAATCCTGTAAGGAAGGCAGGAAGGAAACATTCTGGTGTTGCTTACAGAAACTGCCTCTCCGTTAACTCTTTTTACATTCTTGACAGGATTAGACTTCCTGTCTCTGGAACTTCTCTGGAGTTTTTCCCCCCTCCTTTCCTGGTACTTTGCTTGTGTGGAGTGACCATTCAAAGTTACAATGGCACTGAAAAAAGTGACTTATGACCATTTTTCACACTTAAAACTGTTGCAGCATCCCCACAGTCATGAGAGGCCAGGCGAGGAGATGCATGCCTCGATGTGAGTGATATTGAGTTGGCCACACCCAGCCAATAAAATGACCGCCAAGCCACGCCCACCTAGTCACATGACCACCAAGCCATGCCCACCACCTAAGCCACGCCCACAGAACCAGTTGTTAAAACAACTGAATCCCTCCCCTGGTTATCACCACTAAAACAAAATCACATTTTACCGAGTTACACTCTGAGCTATTAAAATAACAGAAATAAAATATATTTTTACTACCAACTGGAAGGAATATTTATAATTTTAACAGAATAACAGAGTTGGAAGGAACCTTGGAGATCTTCTAGTCAAGCAGGAAACCTTATACTGTTTCAGACAAATGATTGTCCAACCTCTTCTTAAAAACCTCCAGTGCTTAGAGCACCCACATCTTCTGGAGACAAGTCATTCTACTGATTAATTGTTCTTTCAGGAAATTTCTCCTTATTTTTAAGTTGATTCTCTTCTTAATTAATTTGTTTCTACAGTTCTCAATTCCTACAGAATCGAAATACCAAATTTGCATCTATGAAAAAAAAATGTTGTTTTCCTAAAAATCTTTTTTAAAAAGTTCCCTTATGTCACTAACATGAAGCCTTATTGAATTTTATAGATTAACAAAAGATTAATATATCAATTATATTAATATTTCCATGCACTTTCAATAGAAACGTGGTATAATGAAAGCTAGCCATTACTATTACATTTTAAAAGGTGATAGAACGTCAGCTACCAAACTTTTTATGTTTTATAGTGAAAAGTAAACTTGTTGAAATTTGTTTTTCTACACTACTTAGAAATAGATGAATTCTGCCATTTCTTGTATCTGATAATTTAGCTACTATCTTAAATTATGGAAGAAGAACACATAGGTCTACCAAAGCTCTACCCAGATTACTTCTCATGTAACAGAGATTATTCTATAGGGAAAAATATATTTTCTAACACCATGCAACTATAACCAGGTAATTTAATTATAGTCCCAGGCATTTCTACTGAGAAGTAAACTCCATTAATTTCAATAACTTTCTCCAAGGATAGTGATTACAAGATTGCAGCCAGAGTAATTGTGTATAGAGGAGTAAAAGCAGAACTGCAAAAACACATTCTGCATAATTTGTGGAATAGATTAACTTCTGAGCATGCAATCAAGGAAACGGCTTTTGCTTTTCTCCTCTGTGAGCACCAACAAATATATACCCTTAACTTCTGCATTCAGTAACTGAATGGCAACAAGGCTCTGTTTCTACTCAGAGAATAAATTGGAAAACTGATATTCACCACACCTTCTTTATCCGTATAGTGTTGGAAAAAGCACTAAATTGTGTTAAGTACTGTCAAGTATATGCTTTTCTCAACAAACTCAGGCAAGGAAAAAGCTATGATAGAGCACAGCAATGGCCTGAAAATATGCACATGAAGCTTCTACAGATATCACAAATTTCTAATATTCTGAAAGGCACTTAAATAACTCAGTAAAATATTCAAAATATTTTCCACCAATTTCTGCATGCTTTCTCAGAGAATCTTATTCCCTGAAAAGCATATATAGGATTGCTATTATCATTAGCTTATGGGCAACTGCGGTATCCTCTTTGATACTGGATAAGGATAAGACACAATATTTCTTATTGAAGTGGTAAAAACATGCAAAAATGTGGTTTAATTCTCCACCAAGCAGAAAAGTAAAATTATTGCTTTTCTCCAAATGTTAGGGAAAAGCTATGTTACGTCTGAGACTACCATAACTGTATAAATGCCTAGCAAAAGAACTCACCTTAACAACAAGGAAAATCTTATGTTCTTCCTTTGGAAAATTGTTGTTCTCTTCTGAACCGTTGTTGAAGGGAAATTTGACAGTATTTCTTGAAGTTTTGAAAATGTCCTCCATAGCCACTGTGCTTTCGAAAGTTCTGTCCTCTCTAACTTTGTATTGACTGTCTTCAGAACCATCGTGCAGAGAATCTGCTTCTTCCCCACTGTCACAGCCATGCTGGAAGGAACAAGAGTTTTGCTGGCTAATTTCTATGCTATTCTCACATCTAATGTCCATGCTGTCTAGCATGGCAATTAAACAAGGAGAGGGTGAATCTCCATTGCTCTGATTAGAGATTTGTTCACATTCTCCTTCCTCTAAATTTGAATTTTCATAAAACCTATCTTCCTCTGTTTTTTCATGCACATTGCTAAGCTCCCCATTTTCCATGACAGACAATTCAATGAATTATCAGTTCCTCTGGGAATCAAATCAAGCTAGGAAGATGATGGTGGTGATACATAAAAACCCTACTTAAACAGTGCTTGTGATATGTTTTCTGAACACATTGTTACACCTGAGAAGTTTCGAACAATCATTTACAAAGAGCTTTAAATCAACAAACTTGCATATCCACTGAAGACTACTTTTTAACCCTTGCACAGTTCGAAGTGTGAGCACTTGTTCTTCAAAATAACTTTGACTCGCATATCCTCAGCAGACAGACAGCAGGGATAAATTATTTTCCTTAGTTCTCATCTGTTTTTCTAATAGCAAACCTGTGGAACATTTCCCCCCAAGGATCACCATTCTTCTCAAAAAGCACATTAGAATAACAATTTAGATAATGGATACAAAAGAGTAGTGAACAGTTTGAAAAGATTTTTCTAGTTTTGCCAAAAGTGTAGGGTAGTCTTCATAAAACTTGAGGAAAGCAACACAACACAGGAATATTTACTCATATTTAGCCATCAAAATAATACTCATATTTAGCCATCAAAATAATTTCCTAGGAATGTAAGACCTATCTTTCAGAAATATTTTTCACTGCATAAATTTTGGAGAGATCACTGATACAAAAATGAAGTTTTTAAAGTTTCTACTTTTACACACACACACACTTTTGTCACTGTCCATTTGAGAGAACAAAATCAAGTACCAGAGCATCTGGCTTGGATGAAGAACCTTCTGTTTATAAAGGCTATCATTCATTGCTAGGGATAGAGTCACTAATTTCCTAATACGTTATAGTATTTTTCTGATATACAAACTTGACTAGGAATTGGGTTGGCTATTATTATCTATGTGCCTCCAACAGCTATGAAATGTAAGATTTGAGGGACTAAAAGCTGTTAATATTGCCGTTTCAATGTAGAAAAGTTTGTGGCACCTTTTCAGTTGGGAAAAAGACTCTTGTTGTTGTGCATCCTCAGCCAAATGTTTAATCTGCATGCATGCAAAATATCAAGACTTACAGCAAAATTAATTAAAATGTACAAATTGGAGTTAGCTTTAAATTGGGCTCCCTTAATTGGAAAATTAGTAACTAGAGCAAAGTACTATAATAAAATCTACATGTATTGTGTACAGCTGATAATTATAGAAGATTTTCATAGTACAGAGAAAAGTAATTAAGAGTTTAGGTAGAGGGAGAATGGGCAGGTTTAATTAAGGAAATGATATGATACAAGGAATTGGACAAAGACACAAATAATGTGGTTTTTGAACTATACAGAGAAACTAAATTAAAAAACATGATTTACAGGTTCTGATATACCAATTTTTGCAGTTAACAATGAGAAGAAACCAAGAAGACTGGAAAGGCAAAGGGATAAATTTTGTTTCAAAGCAAAAACCAAAAGATTTTTTCTGCAAAATCTGTGGTAATCTGGGAGTTTAGGGTATGACCCACAGTTATAAAGTTTTCATAAGAATTATAGAATACTTTATGGATTAAAGTACAATCCTGATAGAGGTGCAGGAAGGTGATAAAAAGGGATCAAAGTGCTTTAATATAAACATAATACAAAAGTAGGAAGTGGAAGTTTAGGATAAGAGCAAAGCAATAACTTTTAAGAAAAGGATTCTGAACTCAGGGGAATGGATGAACTGAACTGTAACAGCAACAGATTGTTAAATTTAGAGCAAATCATGAAAAGCTATCCTCAGTGTTAGTATACTAGCCTTGAGCGATTGAAAAATTCAGGAGAAAAATTGTACAAATTCTTGTATAAGATACTAAGCTTAGCATAAATGAATGTTAAATATGTTTAAAGATAATGGCATTACTCTTGACATATTCCTTTGCCGAGGCTAGTTTAAATGCACTTAAGTGTGAGGTGCTAATCGGAGATAGGAATAGACAAGGGATAAGCAATAGTCACCCACCAGATAGTTGAAGAAAGATGTGCCTGAAGACAGAATAAGCATCAATGAGGGAAGGTACAAATTATAGTTCAATAACACAGGCTGGGAGAGGGAGAGGTTGGCAACCACGCTGGTTACAGAGGACTATTTTCAAGATACTAGAACTAGAACATAATTGATAACCCAGTGATCTTAGATGTGCACATGTACACACAGAAATGTTATGCTCTTCAGTTCAACTCTCCATAGGATTAAACTTCTCCTGGACATGGAAGACTTAACATAGGGATGTCAAACTCACATCATCACGGCACTCCTGATTTAGCACAACCTTATAAAAAAATGAAAGGGGAAAAAAACTAGGACACAAAAAGGAGAAGATTTAATAGTCGTATGTTAGCTCTCTGGATCAAGAATCTAAAGTCCAACTAGCATATATGACACTGGAGAAACTTTTCTCTACCCAGAACCCTGCCAGAGAAAAATGATGTCCTCTTCTGACTCATGGCATGATTAACTTTGGTCTTGATGACCAATTTATTTCTAAATTTAACGTACTGGATGGTAGACTAGAAAGTTATAGATTTTGGCTGGATAGCAGAGGAACCAAGTAAGGCAATGGCAAACAAGCTGTGTTACGTACTATATTTGACCAGTAGATGGAGATATATCAGTACATTTGGATGTCTGTCTGGCTCAGTATCAGGTAACTCGTTTGTAAACTGTTATGCAACTATGCCACCAGTCCATTTCATCTGACAGATAGTTCTGTCATAAAATAACATTGCTTTGCTTATTTTATTTATTTACACTGGTGGAAACGTCCCACTTCAGTTTCTCACTACCTTCATTGTTTCATAGTTGGCATGTTTTCCTTGGTTACCTAGCTCATAATTTGATACCTTGTACATAGTTCATGTTTCAGTGGATTTGATCCTCGGCCAGTGTTTTATCTTTAGCTGTAAAGTCATAGCATGAGTTTCCTTCCCTATAGGGGGCTTTTTTCTGAGAAGCACAGTCACAGGATCTAGCATTTCTCTTTGTTAATATTTAGCACTGAATACGTCCAAGAGACATCTCATCAAAAGATTAAAGAAACTGAGAAATTCAGTCTCTTTCTGAACATCAAAAAGACCAAGTTCATGACCACCGTGAAGAATGGAAATATAAAAATAATTAGCAGTGAAGAGATCAAATGAGTGAGTGGATCGCAGATTGATCAAAGAAGTATGTAGTCCAGAAATAAACTGTCAAATTGCACTGAGTTGCACAGCGTTGATGAGCATGAATGAATATGGTAAAGTAAGGGTATCTGCCAGCAACTAAATGCAGATTAGTCCATGCTATTGTGTTTCCCATGCCACCTACAGTTGCAAAAGTTTGATCATGAAAAACAAATAACAAGAGAAAAATTGATTCTGCAAGCTGTTGGGGCTGGAGAAGGCTCATGCACATTCCTTGGACAGAAGGTGGCAAACAAACAAGTATAGGAATGTAAAAAACCTGACATATAGCTGCAAGGCAAAAAATCACAAAACTCCGCTCTACTTACTTTGGCCATGTCATGTGATCACACTCACCAGAAAGGACAGTTATGTTTGAATCAGAAGTACTAAAAGAAACAAGTCACCAAAACCACAGTGGCGAGACACTATCAAAGCAGATACTAGACAGAACATAAAACAGGAAAAGTAACCAATATAAGATTAAAATATATGGAATTGGTCCATAGAAGTGCTTAAAATCAGACACGATGCCCAAGCTACCCATCCTCCCTGACCTTATAAAACATCAGCCAGATGAACATGTCAGATTAACAGTTAGAAGCGACCTTGTAGGTCATCTAGTCCAACCCCCACCCAAGCAGGAGATCCTATGCCATTTCTGACAATGGCAGTCCAATCTCTTCTTGAAAGCCTCCAGTGATGAAACTCCCGCAACTTCCGAAGGCAAGCTGTTCCATTGGTTGATTGTTCTGTCAGAAAATTTCTTCCAGATATTGTGAAGAAACTGAAAAATGATTATTGTGTATTATAGTGGTGAAATGTTGGACCAAGAACTGAGAGACCTGGCTTTCTAGTCTATCCTCAATCACAGAAGTTGGACCAGTCACTTCCCCTCTTCATTAACCTATTTCACTAGGTTGTTGTGCTGAATACTTATGAGAGAAATGCTATGTACACTATCTTCAGAAAAATGTAGACTATAACTCTAGTAAAAAATATTATGATATCTGATCTACATTATCATTTAAGAATAAATTAATATTAAAATAGCAAAATATTAACTTTAAATTAAAAAAATAAAATAGAAAGACAAGCAAAAGCCAAATGACTGTTTTTTTCCCATGCTGAAGAATTTTAACTACCTGCGTACACCTTTGATGCTTGAAACACCGTCCATTGCTTGTATTTTTTAAGGAAGCCAAGAAGACACCAGAGCTTCTGGATGCAATACTTTGGGGGAAACAAGTTGGACAACTATCAACCAAATAACAAAGATTGAGCATCATTTTGGGAATTTCAGACTGGGATGACTTATAAATTTGATTGTTAGCATTTACAAATATTTCTGACATGACGCTGTAATTTGAAAGTCTGATTTGATTAAAACACTACTCTGGGTAAAAGTAGACACACATACAAGTCATTATAATATGCTTCTTAAAAGAACACTGAATAAATACTAGCAAAATAAAGAGAAAATGTGCATGGGAACAGACTACTTTGAACGGAGGAGGTACATAAACATTTTTGCCTGTCTTATGTTTGACTCATTCAAAAATTAGTATAGCAGCCTAATTTTCCTATACAGTTCTCAACTTCATGATATATTTCAGTGAGACAGATAATATTAAAACATCTATCTACTCCAATTTTGGACCCAGACATAATACAAATAAGTCCTCAATTTACAACCAATCATTTAGTTACTGTTTAAAGTTATGGCACTGAAAAAAGTTACTTATGAATGTTTTTCATACTTATGACCATTGCAACATCCCTATGGTCAAATAATCAAAATCCAGATGCTTGGCAACTGACTCATACTTATGACAGTTGCAGTGTCTTGGAGTTATGTGA